CCTCCAACTTGTTGTTTGTCTATAATAAATAGAAAACTACAAATACTAGACAAACAATATTAGTCGTAAATTGTTTGTTAAACATCATCAAAATAAGAAGGCCAACAAATATGACACATCACTATCAAGCACAAAATTTGTGCTTGGTACCAAGCACAAATCTTCATTTGTATACATACATACATCTATATATGTATGTATGTATATATATATATATATAAACATCATCAAAATAAGAAGGCCAACAAATATGACACATCACTATCAAGCACAAAATTTGTGCTTGGTACCAAGCACAAATCTTCATTTGTATACATACATACATCTATATATGTATGTATGTATATATATATATATATAGAAGAGGTCCTAACAAATCTAAGCACCATTGGGCAAAAGGTATAGGGCTCAAAATAGGAGTCAACTCAGTTGCGGCGGCTCGAGGAATGGATGAAAAGAATTGACACCTTTGCCAACGCAGATGTACTAGCTCATTGACTCGGCCTCGCGCATAGCTCTGCAAATAATAATCTTGATGAATGGTTTTTTGGTGCATAGGGTTCGCAGCCCCTGCGATGATCCCGCATATGCCTGGTTCGTGGAAAAAATCGTGTCTTCTTCATTATGATTCCATGTGTCATCCTTAAATAACAGGTTTTTGACATTACAAAGATCCGTCTTTTTATAAATCCGCCGTTACAATGAAAATCACAGCAAAAGAAAAAAAACATTCATAACTTTTTTCCTTGTTGCTCGGACAAATCGCGCAGCTCCTGTTTTGCGCGCGCTCGCTTGCGTGGTTGTTGCCTGCGCGCGGCTTTATCCGTGGACCACTGCAAGATCTCAGATCCGGTCGAGCTAACGCAGTATGACGGGTATATTTCCGCCAAGGAACATAATAGCGAGGGTACTATTCGCAAGCGAAAATAGTAGCCTTTAATTTCGCGGATCACAAAGACCAAGCTTTGATCCGGAGTACGCCTGCGCTAGATTTGCAAGCAAATTTCTGGTCTCTCGAACTCTTGCCTTATTTGCGTGACGATTCGGAGCCACCAGATCTGGAGACAAGTCCTCGAACGTCTAAAGCCTTGGACTCTCCTTTTCAGATCTGAGTCTTCAATTCCAGCCAGGGCTTTGTCTCCCAAATTTCTACCTATAGGTGCGGCCTCCGGCCAACCGAGCCCACTAGAGGTGGCCTCGCCGTTTTGCCGCCCGAGTCCCCTAGGTGTTGGGTTTCCGTCGTTTTCCGTTTTTGCGTTCTGTCCGCTGATCCGCGTTCGTGTGCGTTGATTACTCCGGACTTGAATCGTTGACCTGATGGCCGCAGTAAAATCGATTCCCTGATTGGCCAGTAAATCTACTTCTGAGTTCCGAGTTGAAACTTGATCTTGATCTCGATCGGTGATCGCTCGCAGTATCCCTTGGTTGGATGACTGGTGACTCTTCGAATCCTTGGCTGTTCCACACCGAATGGCATGTATTCCGCTTGCTTGCGTGCGATTCTTAACCTCGTCGCTCGTTAATCCGCTTCGTTTGCGTGTCACTTGGCTTCGGCGTCGTGGACTGACGCCTCGTGTTTGGATATGTCGTCCTTGCATGCCGTTCGTCGGCTGTACCAGCTATGCAAGGGTCCTATAAGCAATTTTACACGCCGACAGATACCCCCCTCCAAAAAGTATTTTAGGTCTCATCTTTATTAGAAGAGTCTGGATAACTTTGGATACTTGATGTCCCACCTTCAGTCGAGCTTGTAACGGGACTTTGGACTGGTTTTTCTCTTGATTTCCTTCAATCCTTCAGGCTATTCGGTGCTTTGTCGAATGTCTGTAAGGTTTTCGGTGCTGCATTTATTGTCTAACCGTTGTCGGAATTTCAAATTTGAAGTCGATTCCTGATTTTATGATATTTAGCTCATGTTTGTTGGTTCAACATAGAACTGACTCTCGAATGTTGACGTTGAGTCTTTATTTGCGACGCATTGTCCGGCGTAGTGTTGTTGAGTTATCCTTAAGAATATTTAGAAAAATATTCTCCAGGAACTTCTCAACTGTGGTCGCCAGATTGTTCGCGGGAAAAATCGTAGCTTTCTTCATTGTTGATATCATTGCTATCTCAGTTAACAACTTTATGCGTTACAAAGATCCGGTCTTTTTATAAGATCCGGTTACAATGAAAAATCAAAGAAAACAAAGTAAAGATTACAATTTTTTCCTTTTGTGTCGAACGAATCGCGAGCTCCTGTTTTGCGGTCACTCGCTTTGTGTGGGTTCTTTGCCTGCGCCGGGGTTATTTGCCGTGGACCACCGCGTGATCTCGATCCGGTCGGATCTACACAATATGACGGGTAATATTCCACCAAGGGAATAATAGCCGGGAGGGATTGTTTCACCAAGGAAACAACCGCTCGAATCTCGGGATCTAAGAACCAAGCTTAGATCCGGAGTGTGATCGTGTAGATCTCAAATCCAATCCTCTCGAACTCCTGCCTTATTTGGCGTTGGTGATCGCCGAGCACCGGATCTGAAAGTCCAAATCTCCAAGCCTTCAAAGTTGTGATCTTTTTTTTAAATCTGAATCTTCAATCCAGCAGGGCTTCGCCTCTCTCCAAAAATTTCCAACCTCGAAACAAATGAGCACAAGGCCTATTTATAGGCACTCAGAACTGTGCCCGCGCACAGTTCTGAGCCTAGCCACCCATGGGTGGCTCGGCCTTGGCCGAGCCACCTCAGGGTGGCTCGGCCTTGGCCGAGCCACCCTGGGGTGGCTCGGCCACCGAGCCACCTCAGGGTGGCTCGGCTTGGGCCGAGCCACCCTGGGGTGGTTCGGTTTCGGCCGAGTCCCCGGGTGTTTGTCCGTTTCGTCCTTTGTTTCCGGTTCTGGTTCTCTTGTGTGGTTGATTGACTTGGCAACGACTCTTTGACTTGATTCCAGATTTGGCAGTGAGTCGGGTTCCTGATATGGCAGTAAATCAACTTCTGAATTTGAGTCCGGAATTGATGTTGATTTGATCGTGATTCATCCGAGTTCGCTCTTGTTTAGATGACTCGGTGATTCACCTAAACATTGGTTTGATTCCGCGTGCGAGTGGATGCATTCCAATGCTTGGGTGCGATTTGTCGCCTCGTTAACCTGCTCCGTTGCGTATAGCTTGGCTTCAGCGTTGGCGAGCTAACGGTCTTGTTTGGATACGTCGCCCGGTGGTCCGTTTGTTAAATCGGCGTCGAGCTGTGCTAAGGGACCTATAGGCAATTTTATACGCCTACAGATACCCCCTCCAAAGTATTTCAGTCTCATTCTTTTATAGAAGAGTCTGGAATACTTTGGATGTGATTGTCCCAACCTTCAGTCGGTGTAACGGGACTCTGGAATGACTTCTGTTCTGGATTCCTTCAATTCCTTCAGGCTATTCAGTGCTTTGTAGAATGCCTGTAGGGGTTCCGGTGCTGCATTTATTGTCTGACCGTTGTTGGAATTTGAACTTGAAGTCGATTCTTGATTTCTTGACTTTTTGGCTCGAGTTTGCTGCTTCAACACAGAACTTATCATCGATTGACTGCGTTGAATCTTCATCTATAACGCGTTGTCTGGCGTTTGAGCTTCATTGCGACGCGTTGTCCGGCGTCCAGGCTTCATTATGATGCACTGTTCGGCATTTGACACAGTTTATACTCGTACGTCTGCTGGAGTACACACGGTTTAAGCTCTTAAGGAATTGGAGCATGGATCTTATCCCAAGGTCGTTGGATGCTCGAGTCACGAGACCAACTCATAAAGTTGATGCGTCAATGACTCGCATATTTATAGGATTTTTGGCAAATCCTCAGCCATCAACGGGTTTGATGCGCCTTTACCGACTACCGTTTGAGTCGGGCTAGCATGCGGATTGTTTTAAGTCCAGACGGAATTCCGTCTGGGTTGTCCACCCAGACGGAATTCCGTCTGGGTTGGCAACCCAGACGGAATTCCGTCTGGGTTGGCAACCTAGACGGAATTCTTAATTCCGTCTAGGTTGACTTCCGTCTAGATTGATCAACCTAGACGGAATTCCGTCTAGTTTGAAGCAATCTAGACGGAAGCAAAATAAACCACCCAAACTAGACGGAATTCCGTCTAGATGAACTAATCTAGACGGAATTGCAATCAACCTAGACGGAAATTTCCGTCTAGGTTGATCGTTTTTCTACTAGTGGTTATGGTGTTTTTGAACTATAATTCTTTTATTAAATTATATAATTGTTATTAACAATCACTAGCTAATTTCCGCTGGTGTCTTGCACAGCATTTGTTCTAAGTTGTTATTGTAGGAAGCTCAAGAGTCAAGATACTTGCAACTACACGTGCGAATGGGGTCAGGATAATCAACTTTAAGGCATCCTAAAACATGTCCAGTTCAGCTGTTGACGGATCAAGCTTAAGCCCAACATACCGTACCCAACACTTCCTGAACACTCCTTAAATATATGCATATATTTCTTTAAACCAATACTCAATTATACAATGCATGCTTAATTTAAAACGCTTGTTATACACTTCTTGGATGTGTATCTTGCACTTCCAATGTTGTAACTTGTTGGATAAGGATCGAGTTTATTTTAGCCTTAAGAACTACGATTTAAAAGGGTCATTACATATATAGGTCAAAACTATGATTATATCCCATGAGTTTCAGGTGTGTCCCCATACCCTACCTTTTACAAATTTTCCATGTCGCATACCCACACCCGTCCCCATGCAATTTAATTAGGCTAGAAGTAAAGCTTCTTGCACCTATATACATAGAATAAGATCGAATCCAAAGATAACGATTATCTCACATTATTTAAACACTTCCATCAACCAGGCAATACTTCAAAATTTATCCAATGTATAAGCCCATCAAAGACAGTTGTTCCTATAAGAACCATTTTCTGATCTCTATATAGCCAACCAGATATAAGGGACGTTAATTTCTTGAAATATTGAACAAAAGTTTGTACGATATGAAAACCTAGGAAAATAACTTTCACATACCTCAGACATTATGATCCATGGGATGGCTCCAATCCCAAGAGAGAGAAAAATGACATAAGCCTGAAAACATATAAATTGATCAATGAGCACATTGTTATACAAAAGGCGAAATAAGTTCCACAAACATAGACATACCACAAGTCCAGCCAATGAGATGATACTCAGTAAAAAATAGAACCTAGAATCATCTGATATTGCTCCCTGCATATGAAAGAAAGTACAAAGAGACAGCGGTAAAGTTAAGAACAAAAGTGTACACACAAAATTCAAATCGTCTAAAAGTTAAAATCTTCCCAGAATAGCATGAAGCAAACCTTCAAATAAAATGCAATGGCAACAACAAGAAGGCTAAGAGTCATTCCAGCACTTGAAATCTGCATAAGAAAACACACTTGTTCTTAGGTACTAGTCCTAATTAACATGGATAGAGTAAGAAATTTTTTGCTTCAAAACTCACTGTGGATGTAACGTGAGTGGGGACCACGAGCTGAGGCTTGAAAACCGCGTGAAAGAGTCACCCACGTGAAGAGAAGAAACCGCGTCCTTGCCCAGCGGACAAAAGAGGCCAGGCCCACCCGAACCTTGACATGACCCGTTCCAGTTGCTATAAAATGTAACCTAGGGCTTTGGAGAAAGGTAGCGAAGGAGGGTGGGCAGTTATTTTCTTTGGCGGCTGCGTGTGTGCAATTGTTGGGCGCGTGTGCAGAGGCGGTGAAAAGGAGTTTTCGTGTGCTAGGGCTGGGAAAAGAATTCACTGCGGCTGTGCAAAGAAAAAGGCAGAGGCTTATTGTTTGGGTTGTGTGCATCCTTTTGAGAGTGTCTTTTGTGAGAGATTGGAGAGTTTATTTGAGGGTTTAAATTGTGAGAGTTGTAAACCTAGTTGTATTCTCTCCTCTCTAATAGTAGATCTCCCCCCTCCTTGCCCCGTGGACGTACGCAGTTTGCCGAACCACGTAAAATTGGTTGTTTGAGTTTGTGGCCATTGTAATAGTTTTTAGGATCCCTCGACGCGCAGTCCTAGAGCTGACGAGAGGAAGAGCTAATATCCCACTTTGATGAGATATTAGGCTTTCAGATTCTTGTTCCCTTTGAGAAACAAGAATTCTTATCGATCTTTCTCTCTTATTGTGCACCAGAAACTCTGCCGAAATTTCCGCTGCGCACAACAAGTGGTATCAGAGCCCAGATTCCAGATCTAGGGTTTGGTTGGAGGAGTAGATCAATTTGGAGGCTCGTTTAGGGCTTCGTTGGTGATAAATGTGTGATCTTTTGGTAAAGACTCTATCTTTTAGTTTTGGATCTATTTTTCGTTCGTTGGTGCGTAAGATGTCGGGGAAAGAAGGTGCTTCGGGTGTCGAGGGTGGTGCTTCTGGCGTGAAGACCATTCAGAGTTTGAATATCCACTCTATGAAGATAGATGTGGAGAAGTTTAATGGCACAAACAATTTTGGATTATGGAGATGCGAGGTTTTGGATGCGCTGAACGCGCAGAATTTGGAGGATACTTTGGAGTTAGATGGCAAGCCAGATGAGATTGAAGAGAAGGTTTGGAAAAAGATGAATCGAACGGCGTGTGGTGTGATTAGGTCTTGTTTGACTCAAGATCTAAAATATGATGTGATGAATGAGACTTCTGCGAAGAAGATTTGGGAGATTCTCGAAAGCAAGTATCTGACAAAGAGTGTTGAGAACCGCTTGCATTTGAAGAGGAGACTTTATCGTTTCCAGTTAAAGAAGGGAACCTCAATTAGAGATCACATGAACACCTACACAAAGCTTCTTGCGGATTTGGCGAATGTGGATGTCATAATTGAAGATGAGGACAAGACGTTGCTGTTGTTGAGTTCCTTGCCCGGCGAGGAATATGAGACATTCGTTCTTACTTTGATTAATGGGAAGGCATCACTTTCGTATAGTGAGGTCACTGCTGCACTTGTGAATTATCAGCTTCGAAAGAAGGATAAGGAGGCTTCGGTTGAGCCGGTAGCAGAGGCGTTGGTCGCAAGAGGGAAGAATCTAAACCGGAAGAATTGGAAGTCACAGTCTAGAGGAGGGGATCCTACAATTGGAAAAGATCAGTGTGCTTGGTGCAAGGAGACTGGTCATTGGAAGAAAGACTGCCCAAAGCTCGACGAATGGATGAAGAATAAGCAGAAGGGAAAAGGGAAGCAACCATCATCAGAAGCAAACATCATATCGGATGGTAATATTTCTGACTCTTCTATTTATTCGCTTTCTATCAGTCCTACAGATAGCTATTCGGAGGAATCTGAATGGATGTTGGATAGTGGTGCGACCTATCATGTGTGCCCTAGAAGGGAATGGTTCTCCAGTTTTGAGAAGCTGGTGGATAGTGGTGTGGTGTACATGGCTGATAACCGTGCATGCCAGATCCTTGGGATAGGAAGAATTCGCATAAAGATGTTTGACGGGACTGTTAGAGAGTTAAACGATGTGAGATATGTTCCTTCTTTGAGGAAGAACTTGATCTCGATTGGAGCTTTGGTTGGAGAGGGTCTGAAGGTTCGTGTTGAGGACATGGTTCTCGAGATTGTGGAAGACTCTCGGATTGTAATGAAGGGCGCCAGGAGGAATAACCTGTATTATTTGACTGGAGGTATAGTGGCAGGTGGAGAACTGGCGACTTCTGTTGATGCGACTAGACTGCGGCATTTGGGGCTTGGCCATTCCAGTATTGATTCCTCGCATAGATTGAAAGAGGGTGCAAAGACCTGCAGTTTGAAGTCCAGTGAACATGTTGATGTGAGCAAGAAGACCGAAGTGAAGTGTGGCACCTCTATTCACCGTGCTAAGGGTCGTTCTGGAGGAGTTCACGTGACCTGTTTCTGCATTGGAGCCGAGCTCACGGCATTGCGAGACACTTCGTTGGAAAGGAAATCTTAGGGTAACTAGATAAGGTGACAAATTTGGAAGACCGTGCCTTACTGGAGAAGGATCGGTGTTTGTGGTTGAGCAATGGTTTGCAGAAGAGGTTCTGGACTGAGGCTTCGACATATTTGAGTCATCCTATTAAAGAGTTGTCAACTGCTGTGATTGGAGGTAAAACTCCATTGGAAGATAGGTCTGATGGTGTCACTTTGGTTGAGGCTTCGATGAGGGAGCTAATTGACTCTCAGCAGGTGGAGAGCTTTGGACAGGCCTTAGAGGTATCGCAGCGGGTGGAGAGTGATGCTACTCCACATTGGGTAAAGATTACTCCAGATCATTCTGCATTGGTTAGGATTCCAGCTGAGGTGACACATCGTGGAAGTCATTTGGATTCGGATGCAGATGATGAGTTGGGTTTTGATTCGAGTGCAGCTGGCAGACATAGTTTGGATATGGCCATTGGTTCGCCTCAGATGGAGGTGTTTGAAGCCATTGGAGGTGCTATCAGCCGCAGAGTAGATGATATTGGAGAAGGGTTGCGAACTCTTCTATTGGATTGAGGCCTTTGGAGGCCATTTGGGTGAACTACGTTCGGCTTGATTCCTTGAGCAAGAGGATACGTAGGCAGTTTTATGATGCAGCCGGGTTAGATTTTGATGGGGGTGAGATCGATTTGGTGAGTAGACATCGACGTTTGGAGAGTGTTTGCATTCTCATTTGGGTTCTCAACTTGTTATGGATTGAGTCTGTTATCGTGAATTGTTTCACGGTGTACTGGACACAACAAGTGAGACATTTGGCTTGGTTGGAGTCGGCTCAGTTTTGTGAAAACTTCACCGAGGTGGAGAATTGTGGATGTAACGTGAGTGGGGACCACGAGCTGAGGCTTGAAAACCGCGTGAAAGAGTCACCCACGTGAAGAGAAGAAACCGCGTCCTTGCCCAGCGGACAAAAGAGGCCAGGCCCACCCGAACCTTGACATGACCCGTTCCAGTTGCTATAAAATGTAACCTAGGGCTTTGGAGAAAGGTAGCGAAGGAGGGTGGGCAGTTATTTTCTTTGGCGGCTGCGTGTGTGCAATTGTTGGGCGCGTGTGCAGAGGCGGTGAAAAGGAGTTTTCGTGTGCTAGGGCTGGGAAAAGAATTCACTGCGGCTGTGCAAAGAAAAAGGCAGAGGCTTATTGTTTGGGTGGTGTGCATCCTTTTGAGAGAGTCTTTTGTGAGAGATTGGAGAGTTTATTTGAGGGTTTAAATTGTGAGAGTTGTAAACCTAATTGTATTCTCTCCTCTCTAATAGTAGATCTCCCCCCTCCTTGCCCCGTGGACGTAGGCAGTTTGCCGAACCACGTAAAATTGGTTGTTTGAGTTTGTGGCCATTGTAATAGTTTTTAGGATCCCTCGACGCGCAGTCCTAGAGCTAACGAGAGGAAGAGCTAATATCCCACTTTGATGAGATATTAGGCTTTCAGATTCTTGTTCCCTTTGAGAAACAAGAATTCTTATCGATCTTTCTCTCTTATTGTGCACCAGAAACTCTGCCGAAATTTCCGCTGCGCACAACACTCACTACAAGGAAGAGCCGGCGCCCAGCCCAGTCAAGTAACCACGTGGTGACTCCAGTAGCAACAACCTGCATATTGCATACAATCATTGAGTATCAACCAAAATCCTATTAAGAGTCCACTTAGGATTTCAGTGTTACTATGAGAAATCAAGAATCAAATGTAATAACCTGAATAGCCCCCAGTCCACATGTCGCAGCACTACTATTTGTAACCCCTGTTCAGGATGCAAGAGTCTAACCATGAGAAGCCCTTCCTCATTCAGATAATAGTCAACTTATTATAATAAGCCATGCTTTCTACTAAAGTATCCATCAACATACGTTCTTTATAAGCAGATTTTCCAGTGCATCATGAAAGTTGT